TTCTCTTCTTGCTGATGGACCCTCCTTTAACCCAGATTCTGTCGTTGACTTTTTGAGTCATTAATTTACTGCGCAAAGCCTGATGATGATGCCTCTAGCACTCCTCACAGTCCTTTCTACCTCAACCTCTTGCTATCCTTTATCTCTGCACTGTCCACTGCACCCCATGACCTAATAGGAATACCTTTCCCTCATACTACCCAATGCTCCTGCACCCTTCCTTGCCCTGCTGCGCTGTATGACTATTGTAGGTTTAGCGCTTTTTTCTTATAATAATAATCCACTAAGAAACACCAGATTTGAAACCAAGTTAATGAGAAATTCTCTTACCTCAGAAGGATCAAAATCCTAAAATATTCAAACACACTGTGATTGACGTCAGTCAGAATTTAAATTATCAAGCAGTCAGCGTTGAAAGTTGGATGAAGCATTCAGAAGTTATCGCCTATTTTCTGTACTCGACTGAAGAAGCCTACTGTGTAGGCGAAACGTTTCGGAATAAAGTTGCTTAAGTGTTGCCTATGTGTCTTAACAACCATCCTGTCGGTATTGCATACCATTTTGATATTCACTCTGTCAGACACTGCAACACAATGGCATCTTGGTGCAGAACAGAAAACGCCTTGGAGAACTTCTTCTAGTGAGAACCGTTTGTTCTGAGAGGGACATGACCTCTCAGTGGCTACAATCTCACTACTACTACTCTGCACCTCTCTTTCCTTCAGTATTTAAGTCTCAACACTGTCGCTTGATCTTCAGTTAGTTCCAGACTTTGGAACAGGACTTCTCCAGGCTGAGGGACTGACAACCTCAAATCTACGACTTTAAGGGTGATGGACTGATTACATCGTCTTCACATCTCTACTGCTCCTGCCTATTTTCTGTACTCGACTGAAGAAGCCTACTGTGTAGGCGAAACGTTTCGGAATAAAGTTGCTTAAGTGTTGCCTATGTGTCTTAACTACAAAAGCCAGACAGTGTTTTGTTTGTGATCAGATGGGACATTCTTCAGTTATTTAACAGAAACCAATTTGATTAATAAAACTGGCATATTAAAACCTGCTCAGCCTGAAATCAAAGCACAGCCTCTATTGAGGAAAACACAGCAGCACAAACAGTTTAAAGAAAACCAGAAGAGACATTCTCCGGTTATTCCACAAACTCAGCAAAATGGCCACATAAACGGACAACAGTCAATATTTTTTTTTAGTAATTTCATAAGATGAATCAGTCATTAAAGCCTGATGCTGTACACAATCATTTTATTTTAAATGTGGAAAAGTATTAAACAAGGAACATACACCTTCAGGGCCGGATTACCGCATAGGCAAACTAGGCATTTGCCTAGGGCCCCGCGCATTTGGGGGCCCCGCGGTCCAAGGGGTTCAGGGGCTCATCCAAGACTGCGCACATGGTGCAAGTGCAAAGGGGTCCCTACCTAAAAAGTTCAAGTGTTTGGACAGTAAAATTGATTTTTTAAAATTAATCAAAACAAAAATAAATAATGAAATAAAATAAAATAAAAATAAATAAACCTAACCATAGATGGCAACACTCAACACGCCTTTGTTTACATCAGAACAGCTGTGTTTTCCGCTAATGGGTGAGTATGGGAGATTCCTCTCCAATTTTCTGTAGTTTATATGATTTGATAGTCTTATGCATGATGCAATGATAACAATAATGGTCAGTGATTTATTAAGGGAATAATAGTGCTGTAGTGGTTATGCTGAATATAATAGGTACATGATGTCACTACTTTAAAAGCCTAATCTAGTAATACTATGCTGTCTTGAGTTTATTCTCTTTAAAATGCATGATTTAACAAGATAGTTATAATGGCTGTTGGTAAATGGTTTTGGTTGTCTTGATGTACTTTCCTTATTAAATTTAATCTAAATAGCCAGAATGTATTTAATTAGACCTTAAACAGGCTCACATCGACCCCCCCCAACCCCAAGCTGGAAGGGGTCGCTTCGCTTACCCGTAACTCAAAGGGCCCCCCCCCAATCTGAATAGCCTAGGGCCCGGAGACTTCTTAATCCGGCCCTGTGTAACACCTTTTGTAGAATGTGAGACAGTCATATTAGTCTCAAGCAAGAGGAGGATATCTCCAGTTCCTTGGATCTGGAGGTCATTCAAGAGGAAACTGAAGTTGATTTAACATGATTTAACGGAAATGCAAATTTCACACCATTTTGCTCTTAAAATTTCATATATGCACCTTCACGTGTGAATTTCGTCTCCAGTATCGTCGATTTAGAAGGCACCATTTTTGAACATTTGAAGCTACGCCATTAAGTGTAGGTAAGTTGTACGAGCCATTCCTTGAAAATGGGAACTGGTTTATTAACTTTGATCATGAGGACCTGGAAAGTTCAATTGTTCAAAGAATCTGGCTCTTGTGACCCTGCAAAATAATTGAAATTACGAAGGCAATTAGATGACGCCTTCTCGAGTTAGGAGCAAAATAAATACGAAAAGTTCAAGGAAGGAAAAAACTTCAGACGACCTATTAAAAGTCCCCTTTCTGAATGTCTATTTAAAATCATCCTCTCAATATGACACACCACTCACTCTTAAGACATTCTAATCAGGCGAAACGTTTTGACAGTAAAGATGCACAATTATTACACACACATCTTAACCAAATCTCCAGAGGCGAAAAATTTAATATTAAAATAAGGCGTGTTATGGCTAACACACGTAAAGTGTTGCAATACTTTAATGAATAAAATTGGAAAATGATTATTACACGGCCAATAACTATCGAAAATTTTCTCTAAGAAACACCAGTTAGAGGCGTTCTCAAGCTACGCATGAAACTACTTAAACAAAAGATAAAATGTATCTCCTTTCGTGGGATACAATTACCGTCCTATCTATTTAGTGTCATGAGTTTTCTTTTTCATCTCATTATTTAAAGAATACTTTTAGCCTCATTAGTTTAGGTGCAGATTTTTGTCTCCCTCATCCCTCCCACTCTCCATATTTTTAGGGATTGCTTTTATAAATCCCCTGTTACTGAATCAGTTCTCTCTCCCTCTCTCTCTGCCTATCTATTTGTCCATTTATCTCTCTCTCTCTCCCTCCTCCCCTCTTCTCCCTCCCTCTCTCCCTTAAGCTAGTTTGCCTGATCGCGAGACCACATGCTAACATGCACAATCAAAACAACCCACACTTACCACACACACATACATACACACATGGAGTAGGGAGTGAAAGTGGGTGGACCAAGTAGTGACCAGTGAAGAGGTGGGGCCAGGAGGTATGAATCGACCCCTGCAATCACAATTAGCTGAGTACAATTAGGCGAGTGTACACACACATGCACACATTTTCTCATTCACTCCACAAGGAAACTGACTGGGAAAACCTAGAGCCACAAAGGGACCATTAACGTGAAGGACTAAGATACTTCAGGTAGTAATGGATAACTTGATGAATCAAGAAATTAGGGGCACTACGACACAGAGAGAGAGAGAGAGAGAGAGAGAGAGAGAGAGAGAGAGAGATGAAGAACCATCATGGCTGGACCTTGTAATCTCTCTGAGTAGTTCAAACGAAGGGGGATAAACCACGTGCAGGCCCCTCGGTGCTAGCGATCACACGGTCCTGAGTTTCGAATACCTTGTGAAAGTAACCAAGGAGAATAAAGCAGCACGGGAAGGATATGAGAAGCCAAACTTAATAAGAGGAAACTACATAGATGCAGTTGGGGAAGAGAACTAGAGGGAAAAAATATTGAACGAGATGGAGTATGTGGATAATTTTGCCACTTGGACAACATTTGGGAATCTTTATTCTAGAAAGGTTTTGAGGAGAGTAAAATGAACAGAAGGGAGGGAGATAAGTACATAGTAGGCACACTCATGACTGAGGGTCCCAGGGAGGTGATATCAGTGATGTACAACCCTCCACTTAACAGCAAGTGACTAAGACAAGAATATGATGACGAGAACCGAGCATTAGTGGATACATTAATTGAGGGGCCGGAAGAACCCAAAAGAGAAGTGCAAAGCTGCTGATCAAGGGACACTTTAACCACAAGGAGACTGACTTGGGGAACCCAGAGCCACTCTGGGAACCAGAATCGTGCAGGGCTACGATGCTCGAGGTTGTATAAGAGAACTTTATGTACTGACATGTTAGGTGCACAACCAGAGAAAAAGAGAAGAGAGAGAGAGAAAACATGAATTAATGACCAAAGTAACATGACTGTTTTACTTCTTAGCAATTCTGATACTGGGGATATTGAATATAAAAAGCTCTGTGCTTTTTCATGCTTTATTTTTAAAGTGCTTCTCTAGTATATAATTCTTAAGAGAGCAACAGTCGTGATATTCATGTAAATCAGACTGAATTTTTCCCATAACACCTTTGCATTTTCCTTTCTCATTTTATGAAGACAAAACTCGACTAACATAATCTAGTCACGCCTGAGTAACTTCATATTTGCACTGCGTTTAGCTTGCGTTCCAGCTCCTGATATTTAAAGTTTGTTGGTCTATAAATCCTGTGCTTCTGGACGGTGTTTATTTGACATTTTTGGGATGTTACAAGCAACAGATGCTAGGCCTCTTGATAGTGTTGAGCTCTGGCTAATGGGGCGCTTGAAGGTTTTAATCTCCAGTTCCTGGATTTTTTGGTAGCGTTGATTTATAGTTCCTAAGTCTTTTGAGGGATTGGAACTGCAATTTTTCTGTCTTAAGGGGTCTGAGGTACAGCTACTTTACTTTTACTGTGGCATAATGATGATACTTCTCTAGGCTCGCGCAGCGACCGCAACACATCTAGTAGTTATTATAGTCCCAAGATTATTCCAACTCAGATTGAGTCGAAGACGACTAACCTCTAGGGAAAAGGTAAGTGACTAAGAGAATGTCAATTGATGCAATCGGCTAGTCTCTCTTGAGAAATCGTAGAAAGAGCCCTGTATGATTCGAGAGGGTTTAGCGTTTCTTCAAGAATATATTATTTATCTTGTCTCTTCCTGGCAGAGGCGGCGTCAGTGTGGAGATAGAGAAGACACCCTCAAGGACCACCTCCAAGTTGTTCCTCACACAAGCAGGCAAGATTGACGGTGGAAACTATACGTGCGTCCCGCAGTACGCAGACGCTGCGTCCGTGTTGGTGCATGTGGTGAATGGTGAGTCATGATGCACGTGGTGAGTCCTTGTGAGCGTTAATAGTCTTGCTGAACGGAGTCCCAGTGCCAGTAAATAGTGAGTCCTGGTGAACGTGATGAGCACTAGTACACATGTGCGATGTCGTACGTAGTGAATCCAGGGGAATTTGGCGAGTCCTGGTGCAGGTAGTGAGTCCTTGTGCACGTTAATAACCCTCATGCACGTATTCCTGTGGCATACCTGCTCCTCTTTTAGAGAGATTTTCCATTCTTTTTGCTCAGCGTAGGGCCAGGCTTTTCTGTTGACTGCCTGAGTAACCAGGTTGTTACTGGTGGCGAAGAGCTGGGCCATACAGCCAGCACAGCCTCGATGATGCGGTACTTGGCGGAGATAATGATCCAGTTTCCTCATGGAGACTTCTACATTTGTTTCTTCAGTATTTCTGATTGCCGATAACAGAGTAGTGAAGGCCAACTGGGTCCCCTCGGCCCGGTTCCAGACCGAGCCTCCTTCCCTCAGGGTGGCTAAACTGGTCAACCAAGCAGGCGGTTGGTGCCAACTGCAAGCGGTAATATATATGTTCCATGGCCCGGGTGATCAGGAGGAACTTATGAAGTTCCCTCTTGAAGAAAGCCAGAAGCTTGTTGGCTTGTTGGTCCCTCTTATACTTACTGAATACAAATCGCACTCACTGCAGGTATATTGCATCATTTGCCAGGTCTCTTGAGTTCATATGAAGTGATTTCAGTGTACAGGTTGGGGACCAATCCTTCCAGAATTTTCCAGATGTTGATTATCATATATCATTTACACATAAGTTCCAAAGAGTACATTGCACTGAGTACGTTACAATTTATTCTGCCTTCGTCACACATCCAGTTGAACCTACTTTCTCGACCAGCCAAACTGCCAGTCACTTTAGAGCAGTCTATTTATGGCCCTACTGTTCTGATTTGCTGGTCACTTGAAACACTGTCTAATTGGATAAGACCTTTTTCCAAGCCGAGTTGTGGTGATCTTTCACATCTGGGTGAGTGGCTCTCACGCTGCTCGAATACATTTGTACACAGAGGTTTATCTTAACGTGTAAAACCAATTGTCAGGAAAGAATGATAATGCGCTGTGATTCAGGTACCTGTCTATGTCGGATATTTAAACGAGAAAGAAAAGTGGGTCAAGTATATGACAGAACTCTTCACTGTAGCAGCCTCGATTTCCATTACTTTGGAAATCGTGCTTCTTAAGACCCGTTCCAAGATGTTGATAATGTGTGTCGTTATTACTATCAGCCTTTGCAACTGTTTAACTGGCACTTTGTGGAGTAGTGATATGTCGGTGGTTTTAACGTCTGTGGGGTGACACCTGTGTCCAGGCTGTTTCTAAAATGAATATTTAAAGCCCATAATGATGTTTCTTGAAATTCTTGATGAATATGGAGAGTCATGAATCTGGGAGTGTGTCGAGGGCATAGGCAAAGTAACAGTGGCTTCTTCTGAGGTCATGTGGGTATAGGTCACCTCGGAAATTGGTGGGATATCATCAGCGTTTCCAGTTTCGTTCATGAAAGTTTCGTCTTGGTCTTCAGTGTTTAGAATGAATAACGGTTCACACTGTTGCATCGCAACTTCGTATTTCATTCATTCCCTTACTTGGATCAGCGTATGTGTCTCCTCTAAGGGCTAGAAACTAGATCTGGCATTTTCCCAAGATTTTGCAAATGAGAAAAAGTGTTTGGGATTTCTTCTAATTTCATTTACGACTGTTTACCCTGAGTCTCCTGGGCTCTGAACGACTGATTTAGTTCGAACTCAACCCACCCCATTTCTCTAACCAGTGTTTCTTGTCGCTCTTTAGAATGTTTCCTGTGTTTGCAAAGCTCTGTAATCCGTTGTCTTTTCCTAAAAAGGGAAAGCCTCTCTTTCTCTCGCTTTCTCTCTCTCTCTCTCTCTCTCTCTCTCTCTCTCTCTCTCTCTCTCTCTCTCTCTCTCTCTCTCTTTCATTTGTGTCTGTTCCTTTTTGTCTAGAGCATACTTAACGTGCCAATGAGATCATTTTGGTCAAATTAGTCATTCGTCTTTCCAAAGCATTTCAGTAAAGTCTCGTTCGATTTAGTCCCAATTGATGTTTTTATTGTCGAAGTCGAATCTGATGAATTCTCTTTTATGACTGATCATGTTTAGCTGAGTGAGACCAGCTTGTATGCCGGTCTGACCCCTTGTATGCAAGTCTGACCCCTTGTATGCAAGTCTGACCCCTTGTATGCAGGTCTGACCCCCTAAGTAGGTTGTGGTATAATTTTCTGTTTTTGATGCTAATGCGTCTCAGACAAGGTTCTCATTATTAGTGAATACAAGATCGAGGGTGTTTCTCAGTCAGCTTGGCTCTGCTCTCTACTGGCTTAGGGTGAATTTATTTCAGATGATTAATAAGTCGATTGTGTGAGACTGTTCAAACTTGCTTTCGGTATTCTGTGTAGCCTCCCTTGTTACATTCATTTTTGATATCATAGTTTGTTTTTGTGAGTCTTGGTGCACGTTTTAATTTCTGGTGCACGAGGTGAGTCAAACTGCATATGTTGAGTCTTGGTGAACGTTTTAATTCCTGACGCACGTAATGAATCCAGGTAAAAGTTGTAAGTCCTGTTGCAAATGATGAGCTCTGGTACACATAAGTCCTGGTGCACATGTGACTGTGTATGCATAATACGAATATACTTAATGTATATGAAGCATAAACATCCACTGCATTTTTCGTTTCTGTTCAAACATCACCTTTGCATGTGACAATACCGGGAGTACAACTCCTTTTTAAAGTAGCCACCACATATAAGCTCTTAATTTTGCCTTTAATTAAAATAGCATAATATATTTTTATAATATTCGCTATAAGGAGAGAATTGTTGGGATATTAAAATATATCGCAAAAGCCATATCTATGCAAATACCTCAAAATTTATTAGGCTTTTAATCATATAAAAGGATTAGGTTAAAATTTATTCATTCAATATTCAAACATATTTGGGACTCTGACGTTTCGCCCACAGTGGGTGACAAGATATATAATACAGGTTTATCCTTGCAATAACTGTTTAAAATTGTCCCTTTTCGCCACCCTCTGTTTACTTGTGCGATACTATATATAAAATTAGTCTAGCTATAAAGCTAAAATGATAATCTATTTATTGATACAGCTAAGAGTTATAAAAATTTATGCTATGTTGTTTTGTTTCATTCTGGAAATGAATTTTTGAGGTGCTGTCAAACACATAGTCGTTTAGAATCTTCTGGTGCATGAGAACCTATGTTCAAAGTTGTCAGGTTCACTTTTTTCCTGCTCTAGGGAGCAAAGTTAGTTCCATTAGTAAAATAAAAGTTCATTCAACACTCGGAACCTAAGAGGCTTCAGAGGAAGGTTCATTTATGGTAATTTATTTATTCTAATTCTAAAGTCAATTTATAAAAAATAATTGTTTTCATTTGGAAAATGTCAAATAATAATAATATAAATTTAACTAGCTAACACCAGACGATATTCCTTCGTGAGATAACTAATGATAATTTCATGTTTCTCCTGTTTAGGAGAAGAGTCAGCGGCTGTCCAAACCGCAGGCGCTATTGGAGTTACTACTGACCTGCAGGTTCTGTGCTGGTGTCTTCTGATGCTGCTACTACTGTGTCAGAGACCACGGTGACCCTGTGTCCTGGTGAGTGTATTGGAACCGCTGTTGCTGTGTCAGGGGTCTTGGGTACCCTGTGTTTTGAGTGCTTATTTGGACGTGTTCTGCTTCTGCTCCTCTTCAAGGGAGGGGGGCTCCTTGGCGTGGTGAAGAGGCTCTTGGTCTGAGGAATTAGACCTGTCGGTGTCCTTCCTCAGACCAAACCTAATTACCCCCCAATCCCCCGTTCCCTATCCCATCCTCCCCATCCTTCCCTTTTTCCTTTCCTCCTCCTTCTCCCCACCCCTCCCTTTTGCCCTTCCTTTTTGGCCTTTGGGTTTTTTTTTTCCCCACAGGCACGCTAGTTTCTAGGTAGGGGAAAGGGTACCGGGGTCCATCCCATTCCATTGAGGTTATTGGCGGTGGCGTAGTTTGTCGTGGAATCTGGATTGCCTGGGGATGTCCCGATCCCTCTCCGGTATCCTGGAGGGTGGCTTTGGGTGCCTCTCGGGCGACGGGTGTATCTCTGGAAGCCACCTTTCGGATTCCGGGGGTGGTGGCCGAAGGAGGTATACTTTGTGGCGGATTTCCGGCCGCCCTCTCTTTTGTCTACCGAGGTAGCTCCGCAGATGTGAGGTTGCTACCCCGGATTGCCGGTTTACTGGCATGATGGGTAGGGTATGGCACGGGTTCCATGCTGCATCTGTGCTACTTGCGGTGCTGAGGTCCTCCTGGGCGTGGAGGGAGATTTCTGGCCCTTTCATTCCTCCTAGGAACTATCCCTCCCCGGTCCCCCATTTTATTCTTTTTTTTATTTTTATTTTCTTTTCTTTCTTTTTTTTTCTTAAAAACAAAAAGAAAGAAGTAACCTAACCATGGCAGCCCTAGTCCATGAACCTGCTACCCCTGGGCCCCTTCTTGATACCGCACCCCGTTCTGACCCCGCCTCGTCTTTGGACCACTCTTCGGACACTCCTCATGCCTCTGTACCTCTTGCCGGTGCTGTTTCCTCACCCGCTTCAGGTACTGAGGCCTCGACTGACTCCTTCGATTTATCTGACCTTCTGACCTTCGCTCTCCTCTGACTATGCTTCCAGCCTCTCCCTCTACGGTGCGGCAATTTTCGAATTGCCGACCCGTTCCACGTCGGACCAACTCTGGTCCCACGCCTAAACGCCAATGACAATTACCTGCTGATGATACTTCTCCACCTTCTCGTTCTTCTCAGAAAAGATCGACACGTCCTTCACTACCTTTCCACGCTCAGTTTCAGACTGGACAATGGACTAAATTCTTCACTTTACGACCGACTTCCTCTACTGCCTATCTTTCTGACCACAGTATTGGCAAGGCACTCCTACGCCATGTTGGTAAAGATATTTCTTTTCATGCTCTTAAGAGCGGTATGCGCATCATCACCGTACAGAATGCTACCCAGGCTCATGAGCTTTCTCGTCTTTCCCATATCGATACTGTTCCTGTCACTATTGAAAAACATCATTCCCTCAATTCTTGTAATGGTACCGTCATTCTGCCCCATACCATAGTTCAACAAAATTTCCAGACAAGTGGCACTGACATTCTTGAACAGCTGGAACTCCAAGATCTCCCAATCCTCAAGGTAGACACTTATGTTCTTCCTGCCCGCGGGCGGAGACGATACCCTAGCAATGTGGCTCGTTTAACTCCCATCCTCAGTTTATGTAGTAGGACATCGGTTACAAGTTCGAAAGGTGATCCCTACACCGCAACAGTGTAGAAACTGCTGGTGATTTGGCCATCCAGCGAAATATTGCAGATCTATCGCCGAATGCGCAGTCTGTGGTGCCGATGACCATTCAAATACTTCTTGCAATCTACCTCCCTCTTGCCTTAATTGTCATGAGGCTCACCCTTCGTACTCTCGCCGTTGTCAAGTCTACTTAGACGAGCGGGAAATCCGTTACCTCAAAGAGGCAGAAGGTCTCCCTTATGCCATGGCAGTTTCTCATCTCTGCCTCCAAGGGAGACTACCTCGTGTTTCTTATTCCCGTGTTTCAAAACGTCCCCCCCACTTCCGGTATCCCATCTTCTGCACCCACCTCTGTGGTTACCTCTCCCATAGTCACTCTTTGTGAAGGCTTACTCAGCTCTGTAATAACTTCAGACAGTATTACCAAAGCTGGCTCCTCCTCATGAAAATTAATGAATAGAAAAAGAAATAATAACAGACAAACATAAACACTTTATTATACAGAAAATATAAAATATAAAACACTTAAATATGAAATATTAATCCTACATTAAAGAAAATGAAAAAGAAAAATATAAATAACTGAATTCAACGCTAATATATATGGGGTGTCGGGGTTTTGGGGGGACACTGTTGTTGAAATTTTATGTGGGGGGGGGGTCGCAGGTGTTGGTGACCACCCCCGGCTAGTTTTCCATATGCCGTGAGTATTATACCCGTGACGGGAAAAGCAGGTTCTTTACCGCTGCAATGATGGGGGGTTCGCCTGAAATTTTCATACAGGTCACAGGAAAATTAAATCCAAAATGGGGACGTCTCAGGACTTAGTCCACTCCTCATTCTTCTGGTTGATTGACAGGTGACCCTTCTGCATCCAAGCTGGAAAGATAGCGGGTTTTACCCACTGCTTAAATAACACTCTCCATGATAATCAATCCAAAAGACGTGGTGATTATTGCAACAGTCAACTTAGAGCTGGCTGAAAAGACAAAGTTTTTTATTGGTAAAAAGGAAAGCTTTAAAAACCAATAAACCCACAAATAAAAGGGCGGGCATGAAACCCCCAGTATTTTGGGGAGCTGTGATCGAGTGATTTACTTTTTTTGACCAGAGCCCACACGTCACCTTTCGGGGGGGGGGGAAGGGGAGGGGAAGGGGATAGGGAGCTAGATGCCCCTACGTTAACAACAGCCAGCAAACAACTTACTTTTGGGGGTGGGGAAAAAGGGGGGAATAGCAGGGCGGACTACCCTACTTAAAAGACCGGGCAATGAAACTATTGTTACTATATACTCCCTCGCTACCCCTACACTGAACTTTTCCCTCACAACCCGTTTCAATTCTTTTGCTGCCTGGGTCAAACGTCCGCTTCAACGCCTCAGCCCGATCCGTTCTTCTTTTCCCCTTTCTCTCACAAGCCTCAGTGCGCGGATCTCGTATGACACCTCCCCCAATGTCTTTCTACTTTTTCAAAATCAAAAAAAAAGGTCGTTAACACCACCCCTCTTCCCTCCCCATTTTACCTTCCCGTCTCTGTACCTGGTTCTCCCCCCCTCACTGGCTCTGTTCAAGTGAGAGGTTTTACCCTCCTCCTCGTACGTACCCCCTCCCCTGTCCCCCCAAGTTTTTTCCTTTTTCCACCTCCCGGTTCTGCCTCTTCTATCCCCCCCACACTTCTCCAGTTCCCTCCACCCTTTCGCCCCCCCCCACCTTGGTAGAGTCCAATACAGTTCCAATCTTTACTCATCCTCCCCCCAACCCTTTCCAAAATTGTCTCCCATACGAGTCCTGAATTCTCAAACCCTTGAAGCAATCTCTGAATATATTTAGAGACCCAAACCATCAATGGACACTGATCCCCTCCCCCTTTTCCTCTCCTCCTCGCTCCATCGTGCAACTCCCTTTTTTTGCAGCGCACCGTTCCCTTTACTCTTGAACTTTTCCACTGCCCCCGCTTGGGGCTTTTCTAACCCCCTTTGTCCGTAGGGAACCCTTACCTGCGATTTCAGGTATCTTTTCATTGCCAACGGGCCCATTTACAGTGGGAAATCCGGCCCCAGGGTAATCGGGGTGAGTTCAATGTTACTCTCCCAGTTTTCCCCTGTTGGTGTTTGCTTACGGGGAAAAAAAATTACACTCTGCTTTTACTTCCCACTCGGGCTATAATTTTTTTGTATTCTTCAACCTTTTTCCGATGGGACCTTTAATGAAATCCCCTTTTTTCTATGCACATTTTTCCGTACCATCAGCTATTTGTTCATTTGGGGGCGCATTACACAGCAGCTCGTATCCATTACATAGGTTATACGCTCTGTTCTTTAATCTCTCTCCTTCTGGGGCATTATCTATTCGGGATTTTCCTTTCCTTGTTTCGTCATTACCGCCACCGTTTCTGTTACTTGGTGATTTTAATGCCCACCATTTCCTCTGGGGGGGGGGGTCCACTGTGATTCCCGTGGTTTTCAGTTAGGGGCTTTTTTTTGCCACCCCCCTTCCTTTTTTAAAAACAGGTACTCACACCCATTTTGATCCTCGACTCCACCTCTTTGCATCGATTCTCATCTGCTTTTCCCCTCCGCCGCTTTAGACTTCACTTGGCCCTTTTTCCCCGGACTTACATGACAGCGTTTTTTCCCCCCAATATTCTTATTTCCCCCCTTCATATTCCCCACCTCTTCGCATCCCACGCTGGAAATTTTTTGATCAGGAAAATTGGAACCTTTACTCACACCTAACTTTTTTTTGAGAGTTCCCTTTCTTCGTCCTCCCGATAGCTTTTACCCCTTTCTCGTCCTCCTTTTTAAAACCGACTTCTCATTTATAACCCCAAACTTGGGGCGGGCTTCTCAGAAATGCTGCCTGGTGGCTCCCGCTTGTGCTCGTGCAGTACTTTGAAAACCCTCATGGGGGGAGGTACCGGTACAATAGAACCACAGAGACTTCTTTATTTAAAACGAGCGTGCGTCCTCGCCCTTCATGTACGCTAAAAGCACTTTTTGGGGAGATTATATCTCCACCATCACCTTGCTTCCTCTATGAGTGCAGTCTGGAAAAAATACGAAAATGGTGGTAAATATTTTCCCCGACCCGGGTCCTGTTTTGTGGGTTGCCGGTTTTTGATTACAAAAACCCTAAAGGCCAAAGAAATTGGCAAAACATCTGGCCCTATTTCTCAGGGAGTCCCCATGCCCCCCCATTTCTTTCCTGAAAGTCTGCCAGAGAGTTTGCACCCTTGGGGCTTTTCTTTTCTCGAAAGAACGTATAATGTACCTTTTACACTTCAAAAACTGGAACAAAACTCTCAGCTTGCGATCAC